ACTAGCGAAATAGCTTAAGAATTTGGTCGACTGGAATAATGTAATTGGCCTAAAATAGGAGTCAAAGTGGGCAAAATCCCCGATGCTTAAATATCGCCGACACAGTAAAATTCACAATAGTATAATTTCATCAGTTTTCCATCAAATTTTTATTTTATTACCTCCAGAAAAAAAATTCTCTACCATTTCATAAGATTTTTTTTTTTTTTTTAATTGTTGGACCCTGTAGACAAGGTGTAGAACTACAGCTTGGTTAAATGAAAATGACTTGAAAATGTGCAATATTAATTTCAAAATAAAAAATAATATTAGCACATTCATAGTAGTGATACTCAACATGCTATGGTAATTATTGACCCAAGTATTTTTTAATATGAATTTTAAATTAATAACATTAAATAAATAATGTTATGTACTGAATTACAATTCTCTGTTTTAATAGATCAAAATATTTCAGGATTTATTTTTCTACACTTGTAAATGCTCCTGCTAGGGTTCTGAGCCACAGTTATCGTGGAGAAATGGTGGGGCAAGTGAGTACCTGAGTTTACTCAGTTGTACCATAAAGAAGCTGTTAATTAGTCTTTTTGTAAGGGGATCCATTCAGTTCTTAGTTTCTCCGTTTTATGCATTTTTTTTTTTAATATTTTTCCTCCACACAGACCAGTTGGCAGATGTGCATCTTTTTAGTCAGGCAACTGTGAGGGGTGACTAACCATGCGTAGTATCAGGTTAATAGCTGTAAGCTTGTGGGAGGAACCAGTGTGAGCAATTACCTATTTATAGCTAACCTAGTGGTTATGAAATTTGATGAAAAACTTATGGAATTATGCAGATGCAAGTTAGCAATGTGAGTGCAATTTATGCTTCTATGATTTCTCCAACTTTGAGTCTTATTTCAAGTCATTTCCATTGCTCCTTTTGACTAAATTCTTAGTTATTTTGCTAGTATGCCTTCTGTTCTATCAGTTAAGCACAAGAAACCATCCTTTCAACTATTACAATTTCCATATAAAGTGTATAGAAGTCAGTAATTTGGCCAATTTTACACAAAGGTAAAAAAATACCAGTTAAAAAAAAAAAAAAAAAAAAAAAAAAAAAGAGTACAAAATAAACAATGTAGACATTCCTGGCAATAAAACAACATTTCCTGTGTTCATTAACCCATAAATGGTCCAAATGTATATATACATTCTCTCGCGTAGTGCCCCAAATTTTTTGAGAAATTTTTTTTTTTTTAATAGGAAAAAAGAGCATATGGTACCCAGGCATCCCCTATTATTTTAACCCTTTCAGGGTCGACTGGCCCTCTCAGAGATTTGTTCTTAGGGTCACCCAAATTTCAAAAAAAAAAAAAAAAAATTTCTTATGAAAATATATAGAATCTTTTCCCGATCATAATGACACCAAAAGTATGAAATTTGTTGGAAAACTTACGGAACTATGCTCTCGCGAAGTTAGCGGTCTCGACGATATTTACACATCAGCTATTTTGCCCACTTTGAGCCCTATTTTCAGCCAATTCCACTGTACTAGTCGACAAAAATCGTGAATATTTTGCTAGAACTCCATTTTTTCTATCGAATGAGTGCAAGAAACCACCCATTTACCGATTTCAACTATCCAATACGGTGGTCAGAATTTAGCAATTTTGCCAATTTCACACAAATTTCAAAAGATGCTAATTTCCAAATAGGGTCCAGAATAAACAAGAAAGACATTCCTGGCACTAAAATGACATTTCCTCTGTTCATTAGTCATGTCCCAATGCCCCTCTTACATTCTTTTGCTTTCCACTTTGAATTTTTATTCTCGCAAAAAATAGAAGATATACTGTTATGCAGACTACTGCATTAGTGAAAAAAATGGTATAAATAATATCGGCACACTTGTGAAAGAATATTAGACTTGCTAGTTGACGTGTATTAGACGCTTAGCATGATTTGTTTACTTTTGAACTTTGGTAAAAATCGAACATTTCTGCTACTTTGAGCTCAATTTCAAGGTACTTTTCATTGAAAAATCAGTCAATTTCTGTTATATGTCTTCCATTCTATAGAATGAGACCAGGAAACTAGAATACAACAATAAATACCATACGAAAATACAGCGCAAAGTCGCTGTTTTAATCCAAAAACAAGGTCAAAGTTTTTTTTTTCTCATTATGCACTGTGTGCTGCAGGATTTTTTTTTATACTGCACACACTGACCACATAGACCCATTCTTTCATATGTAGGCCTACCAGCTTTCTCTCACTAGATTTGAAGGTGCTAGAATTTAGGCGTACTAGTACGTCAAAAACCCTGGTGCGTAAGCCGTACTAGTTCGGCCGAAACCCTGAAAGGGTTAATATGGCGCACAGTGAGTGCGCACACCCATGCTCTCATGTCTAAATGACTCAGGCTTATCGTGGCAATGTTGAATGTATGACAAATAAAATGTATATATACGTTTGGGACACTAGCGGTAAAAATGTATATACACGTTTGGACCGTTTACGGGTTAATCACATCCCATGGCCTCTCCTATGCCCTCCATTTTGAATTTATAATCACACATACTAAGAGCAAGGTGATAAGGATAACAAAAATTTAGGTAATGAGAGACTGGATATCAGATTGAAGGGGGAGAGTATGGAGAAAGTGAGTGTATTCAAATATTTGGGAGGACTAGTCAGCAGATGGGTCTATGAAAGACGAGGTGAATCATTGAATTGACGAGAGGGGGAAAAAGGTGAAGGGTGCACTGAGGAGTTTGTGGTGACAAAGAACATTATCCATGGAAAGAAAGAGGGGAATGTGTGAGAGTATAGTTATACAGTACCAACGTTCTTATATGGGTGTGAAGCATGGGTGGTGAATGTTGCAGCAAGGAGAAGGCTGGAGATGTCATGTCTGCGGGCAATGTGCAGTGTGAATATAATGCAGAAAATCCGTAGTTTAGAAATTAGGAGGCAGCGCAGGGTTACTGAAGTATTATCCAGAGGGCTTAGGAGGAGTTGTTGAGGTGGTTTGGACATTTAGAGAGTATGGAATGAAATTGAATGACTTAGAGAGCATATAAATCTGTAGTGTGAGGAAGGCAGGGTAGGTGTCAGCCTAGGAATGGTTGGGGGGGAGGTAAAGGAGATTTTCGTGTTCGAGGGGTTTGGACTTCCAGCAAACATGTATGAGTGTGTTAGATAGGAGCAAGTGGAGACAAATGGTTTTTATGAATTGACATGCTGTTGCAGTGTGAGCGAGGTAACATATATATGAATGGATCCAGGGAAACTGGCAGGCCAGACTTGAGTATTTGAGGTGGGAAGTACAGTGCCTGCACTCTAAAGGAGGGGTGTTGATAAGTTACAGTTTTATAACTTTAGTATGGGTGTGCCTCTGGCAAGACAGTGATGGCATGAATGATAATGAAAGTGTTTATTCTTTTTCGGGTCACCCTTCCTCGGCGGGAAACAACCGATGTGTTAATAAAAAAAAATTGATGATTTTCTCCTTTCCCAGATAATAAAACAAAACCAGGAATGATTATCATTGTGTTCAGTGTCCCAATAATTAAATCAGACCTATTAAAAACCCCTAAAACAGATTGGAAGTGTAGGGGGCCTTACCTGTCTTCAGGAAAATCAACAAAAATCAGATATTTCCGTTAGTTTGAGCAAAATTATAAGCTACTTCCAGTCTTTCATTCTATTAAATGATACAAAGAAACAGTCAATAAAGCCATAAAAAACCATCCTAGAAAACAATTCAATCTCTATTTTAAACCAAATACTGGGTCAGAATTTTACTTTACCTATCCTGCACTGTGTGGGGTAGGATTTTTTGTATACCTGTGCACACACTCCATACAGACCCATGCTCTTATCTTGGCCAAAATTTACTGGTTATCTGAGTGAGCTGAGCTCATGGTGTAGAACTATGTGAGGGACCCTGGCCTCAGTGGTGTAGTTCTACTTGACATCCACTTTAATTAATTAATTTAATTTCTGGGGTTAATTTCTGGGGTCTGGACAGTGAAAGGGTTAAACAGTATTTAGTTTATCATAAAGTATTTTAGAGATTCCAGTTATTGTAGCATTTATTACCTTTTCTTGTAAGCCATTCCAATAATGTTTCATTCTGTTTGCACACACAATTTCTCTTACCTACAGAACTGATTGTGAAGGGCTCCCCCAGTTATTAACCCAGTTAACAATTGCTAATAAAGACCTGTGCCACTTGAGTTTGTTATTACATGATTTGAGTCTGTATCTGATACTCCCATTATGTAAAGTGAGATTTCATAATACTCTTGCGAAAGAACAAATTTGGATGTAATGTGTCTTGGCTCTTCTGATAAATTTAGTTAGCTTATTTTTAATTCATGTGATTTTTTATGTATGCAACAAATTTTAAATAATTTGTGAGCCCTGTTAAAATTGTAGTTTTCTGCTCTTTTGTAAAGTAATTCTTGACATTTTTAACATTTATATTTAATCTTTAGTGGCTTCTCTTCACTACTCAATGTATCAGCCTCTTTATTGTCAAATTCTCTCTCATTTATCTCATATATCTTGGAAATATTTCCCATTTCAAAAACTTGATATCTGTCTGTTTAAGTCTAGTATTAATTGTTCAGTTAAGAGGCAAACAGTTATAATATTTGGAATGATGATTTGTAATGCACTAAGTTAATAGTTGAGTAATACATTTCATATGAGTACAGTGATTCACATCAAGATGCCAAATCTCCTAAACCATTAATATACAGTATCTTAATGATTAACATATGATGATTACAGCCAATACTTGATAAATTTGAATTCCCAGCAGGTTTGACATAAATAAATTGAATAGATATATCATACATATAGTTAACAAACATCCTTTATAGAAAAGAATGTAATTTCAGATGTATAATCCTCTTGATTGAAGCCAAAATAATATTCTAATGCATAATTTTCATGAAGATCTTTGTGCTGGTCTCTACTTTCCTATACTTTTTTATTTTTAACTCCCAGGTTGTTGCTTCACTATGCTGTGGAAAACTGTTCTGATGCTTCTAATCTATTCCCAGGTGGGTGTTGTTGCATAATGGAAAAAATCTATAATCTAAAACTTTGTAGCCTAGTTGACATTAATTCATTTTTAGGTTTATGTCCTGGTTACCATAAGCTTGGGAGAAAATGGCAGTCTTTTGATTTATATTCAACAGGCACTTATTGTGAAATCAAGTATGTGCAGACCAACGTGTGTGTGTGTGTGTGTGTGTGTGTGTGTGTGTGTGTTTGTTTTACCCTTTTTTTTTTTTAATAATATGACCTCTGCTTTTGTTTATTATTCAAACAGTTTGAATCTGAAAAAATCTTTTTTGCAAATATGACTGATAAGGTTTGGTTTATAATTGGTATGACTCGTACATATATACAAATTCTCTGTTTACCTTTCCTGTGAAAAATTACTGTTTCACCTTTGCAAGTGGCATTTGCATTTGATATTTTCACTATTAAAGTTGTATACTACAGATAAAGGTATATAAAATTTCTCAGCTCTGACAGCACTGATATGAAGAACTGAAATTGTTTTACAAATGTTTACCATGAAGTACTCCTACAGTGGTGATAATCTGCAGGTCACTTGGTGCATTATACTCCCAGACTTGATTTATTTGTGTGTAATGAGATGATGATACTTATCATTTTTAGTGTGTATTATTTGTTCAGCAATGTGCAGATGTAAGATGGATTGAGTGTTATTATTTAATTATTATGCTACTGTATATATAAGTATAAAATGTAAAGATTGATTGATTGTCTCCTCAACCTCTGCTACTTGTTTTCTTTTTCATGACTGCTTAGTTTCATCTCGTCACATACATATTTTATTAGGGCAAATTATGCAGTGTACAGCCCTCTCAGCATGGACATCTTTTGTAATGGTTTTTAAATCTGCATTTTTTTGGCAATTGATTTATATCAAGAATGAATATCACCGTTTTTACCTTGGTGACTGGTGGTACAGTATTGGTGCTTGGAAGTGCCCCGGATGGAAAATCCTTATTGAAGAGCGCATGTGGTCGGCACACATGTAAAACAAATCAAGGCAGGTTGTCTGCTTAGTGAGCTGATGATTGGCAACCACACATCAGCTTCCAGGTGATGGATTTTAATGTTAAAAGTAAAATTTGCAGACATCTACGATAAAGTATATCAAAATACAAAAAAGTGTAATACACATAAAACAATGTACAAGTGAACTCACTTGGAGAAAAGTAAGCTAAAGGTAAGAGGAGTGTTGTTTATTTCAGCCTATAACGGAAACTTGCTGAAGAGGACCTCAGGTGTAGGCTGAATTATACATCACTCTTCTTGCCATCTGTTTAATTTTGTCCAAGAGGATTTGTTTGTAGTATTTAAGATATAGGTGTATGGAGGTTACCTTTTTTGTCATGTGTGGGGAGTTTGTAAGGACTTTGCAGTTCCATTTTAGAACAACAACACAGTGTTGCATCTCATCAGTTGCGAGATGCAGTCAATACACCAAAATCTCAATTATTAAAGGTAATTTTATTCCAGGTTCATGATTGTATAGTTTAATTTTTAATATTAAGCTTATTTCATGATTGCATAATGATAAGTCATTAGTATGAAAACCAGATTTAAAGTACAATTGAGATTCTGGTCATTAATTTCCTTGATGATTGGGGTATTAGTGTACTGGTCTTCCCCTGTAGAGAATCATTGTAAATTAGTGTTCCTTCTCTTAAGAATACATGTTAGCAAGTCCGATTTTTGTATTTCTTGATCCTTTTTTAGGCATAATATAACTAAATTTTAAATGTTATATAGTGCTAGATAATTTTTTTTTAATTGGCTGCAAGAAATGGGGTTTTGATGGAAATGTGAACATTTGGAGTGTTGAGAGTGCATAGGTATTCAAGTTGGGTAAATTCTAATTTATGAAGGATGTAGAAAAATACTGGTTTGGCAGTAGAGGTGTAGATGAGTAGAAGAAGTTGCCAAATGGCATTATTGAAGCTAATATCTTTGGTAGCTTTAAAAACAATAGATTAGACAAATATACAAGTGAGAATGGTTGAGTTTAGAAAGAACTTGTGTAGCATGGACCAGTAGTCCTTCAGTCCTCTGCTGTTATATTTATTTTGTGGCAAGTTACTACTGCATAAGCCTCTGTAAATTGCAGTTAAACATTAATGCATAGGCCACAAATATTAGTGTAATAGCTGATTAAAAGTAGAACATTGAGTGAGAGTTGTATTATATTTTGATAGCATTTTATAGAATTATTTTTCTTTGTAAAAGCATGAGTTTTATATTGTTGAAAATGGTTTAGATAAGGAATAGTTATGTTATTTTTGAGACAAACTCATTCAGCATTCTTTGTTGACATTTTGAAAGTTTTAAGAATTAAAAAACTTTTTTTGTAATAAGTAAATTTAGTTTGATGTTTATTAATAAGCTTAGTTTTAGAAAAAAGATTGACAAAAATTATAGAAAATAATTTTATAGTTACACCATCTCTCTTGCTCAGGAAGTTCACCAAACCTTATAGTAAAAGATCATATCACATTCATAAATTTACTTTTAAATTCACATTTATTGACCAAAAAGTAGTTAAGCTTATCACTAAGCACATTATAAACTGTGCCTTGTTATATTTTCATTTACCCAGGATATACATTAGTAGAAAATATATATAGCTCTTTTTTTAAGGGGGGGGGGGAACTAGCATTGACAGCAGGAGCACTGAAAATTTTATGCTACTTAAATATAGAAAACATTAGTTTTAAATAGGTGAAAATTGGAAATTACAAACAATCATGACAATGTTTACTATGAAGAGTGTTGGTAGAAGTTTTCACACTAAACATTACTACTAATTTTTTTCACTCTAATGATTTACAATGGTATGTAAATGTGTAGAATTTTTTTTTTGCTGAATTGAAATTCTGGTTCCATAAAATGGCATTGTTAACCCTTTGAGGGTCCAGAGGGCAAATCTCAGAGTGACAGCCAGGGTCCAAGAATTTTCAAAAAAAAAAATTGTTATTTTTTCTTATGAAATGGTAGGGAATCTTTTTCTGAGGATAATAAAACAAAAAGTACAAAATTTGATGGAAAATTGTGAAAATACTCTCGCGAATTTTGCTGCGTCAGCGATATTTACGCATCAGCGATTTTGCCAACTTTGACTCTCATTTTAAGCTAATTACGTTATTCCAGTCGACCAAATTCTTAGCTATTTTACTAGTATTACCTCTATTTGATCGAGTGAGCATAGGAAATCGCCCAGTCAACTGTTTCAACTACACAATAAAGTGATCGGAAATTGGCAATTTGGCCAATTTAACACAAAGTTCAAAATATTCCAATTTCAAAATAAGCTCCAGAATAAGCAATGCAGGCATTCCTGGCACTAAACTAATATTGCCTCTGGTTATTAGTTATGTTTTCAGGCTTTACAAATGAATTCCATTTTGATTTTTTATTCACCTAATGAATTTTTATTCATACAAAAAAATAGAAGATTTACTGTTATGCAGTATCGTAATAATTGCATAAATAATATCAGCACATTCATGAACGTATATTAGAAACACCAGCTGATGCATATTAGACGTGTGACATCATTTGTTTACTCTTGAACATTGGCAAAAATTGAATATTTCTGCTATTTTGAGCTCAGTTTCAAACCATTTTCAGTACTAAATCCAATCAAAATCATCTCTATTTCTGTAATATATCTTCCATTCTATCAAATGAGACCAAGAAATCGCGAATACAACTGTAAAAAACATACGAAAAAGCACTGCAAAGTCGCTGTTTTAATCCAAAAATACGGTCACAGTTTTTTTTTTCTTATGCACTGCATGCTGCAGCATTTGTTTTATGTAGTGCACACCTACCACACTGATATAGTCTCTCATACCTAGGCCCAAATTTACCACTTACAACTTAATTGAGCGAGCTGAGCTCAAGCTGTAGTTCTACGGCTTGGACCCAGGCTTCAAAGCCATAGAACTATGGGACGGACCCCTCTTAGGTTCTTAATAGATATTTATTGTGATGGTTTATATTTATTATTACTAGGTATGGTATTCTAATTGGGATTTTTTTTATTTAAACACATCGGCTGTTTCTCACCAAGGTAGGGTGGCCCGAAAAAGAAAAAACTTTCACCATCATTCACTCCATCACTGTCTTCCCAGAGGTGCACTTACACTATAGTTAGTTATAAAACTGCAACATTAACACCCCTCCTTCAAAGTGCAGGCACTGTACTTCCCATCTCCAGGACTTAAACCCAACCTGCCAGTTTCCCTGAATCCCTTCATAAATATTACCCTACTCACACTCCAACAGCACGTCAAGTCGTAAAAGCCATTTGTCTCTCCATTAGCTCCTATCTAACATGCTCACACATGCTTGCTGGAAGTCCAGATCACTCGCACACAAAACCTCCTTTGCCCCTTCCCTCCAACTTTTCCTAGGCCAACCCCTACCCTGCCTTCCCTCCCCTACAGATTTATACACTCTCTATGTTGTTCTATTTTGTTCCAACCTCTCTGCATGTCTGAACCACCTCAACAATCCCTCCTCAGCCCTGTAAATAATAGTTTCAGTAATCCTGCACCACCTCCTAATGTCCAAACTATGAATTCTTGTGATGTAAGCCCACGGAGGTCACAGCCTGACCTCACCAACCAGTGTAAATTGTCACAACCCTTGCCTTGGCAGAGAGGTGTTAGAAATATGGAAGAATCCTGGCGCCGGACATCTCAGGTCTCATTGTTTGAGAAGTCTACCCTTGGTGTGATAACTGAAGGCAACAGGTCTTGACACATATGGTGTATGCCTCATGATAGGGTGAATCCCTAAACCTGGAGTATAGGGGGGTGCTTTAACCCTTTCAGGGTCAGCAGGCCCTCTCCTAAACTTGTTCTCAGGGTCGGAAATATTTTGATAAAAAAAAAAAAATTCTTGTGAAATGACAGAGAATCTTTTCCCGGTAATAATGACACCAAAAGTATGAAATTTGATGGAAAACTTATGGAAT